GCCTACTATTAATTATTGTCTCAAAAGAAAGATCTCTCAGTTTACTGCATGGAGTTATTTTTTCACTGAGTGAATCTGCTGCATACATATCAGTGATTCCTGGCCATTATTTATGGGGTAAGGGGTATTCAAAATGTCTCTATTCGCAAAATTTATATCTACAAACAAGTTGCGGTATATAAAACTGGTTGGCTCGTTTGGCTCTTGTTTGGCTCATACCAGAAGACTTAAGTAGCGGGCTATCAGCCAATTCTTAAAGTAGGATTTAAGTTCTTGAATTCTTATGTAGCTTACATTTATCTCAATAAATATTCTAAGGGATTTATCAAACAACGAAATTCAGCGTCTGCCCATGGATGTTTTTGGCAACCTCACTCAGATGAAAAAGCTGTAAGTGGCATTCAGTACAAACTCCACAGCAAAGGGAATTATGATATACAGTTTTTCATAGCGCTTGAAGTAAACATATGCAATATAACCATTCTAAAAACAGAGTTTTGCGAATTTAGATTTTGTGATTATTTCAAGATGCGCACTGCCTTTATATAATGCTAACTTTGGTGGAGTTGGTCATCGAGAACAATTGAAAAAAAGAGGTCAATATTAAATTCAATTGTCTCACACAGCCTTTTGCTTCACGTGACTTGTGACAAAAATTTTTTAGCTGAGTAACCAGGGAACTCTGTGAAGATTGATTTGTGATGTAAGTGACTTATTATAGTTTGGCGCATTAGTACTGAAAAGTGACGTCATGATATGAAAACGCCCATGTTAACAATGAACGGGCAATGGTATCTTTTGCCTAAATTCTCGGGATCAGGAGTAAACAGTTTATGTATTCAGCAAAAACGTGTAAAATTTTATGATTCCTCAAAATAGCTTTGCCAGAACCAATTGGGTTTTATTTCAATAAAGTTAAAGTCCTCCCTATTCGGAGAGAACAAGAACCTTTCCAAGAATCTCAAATTCTATTTCAACTGACTTCTTTTTCATTCTATATATTACTTTAGCTTTCTCTCCAGTAACAAACTTCAGCGCTTGCCGAGGTTCAAAAATCTCTCCAAGTTAGAAATATTGTAAGTGATTGACGTTTGTAATGTAAAGTGTGGGCCAAAATCAGCTTCGGTACGGACTCTCTCTATCGCATCTTTTTATGACATAACAGTTTATTTAAGGATGTTAATTGAGTAAGTTAAAAGTTAAAAATACGCATCCATTTTGGAAAGAGATGACATTAACAAAGAATTACCAGGGTTCAAATGTTTAAGGTGATAGAACAAAATATAATACAACACATCCCCTACAATACTTTGATAACACCCTTCCCTCGGGGCTTGACAAGGATCTTACGTTAGAAACGATAGCTGATTGATGATTAACCCAATTCAAACTTTAGTGATAAACTGTTATTTTTCTGAAAAAATTGTTTATCGGCTATGAAAACGTTTTTTCGATATTGAGTTAATTTGGGATTTAAATAAAAACACAGGATCTATAGATTCCAGTTCTTAACCACCATTTTTCTGGCAGCTTTTCCAGATGTTCCAGAAAAGCGTTGTTCAAACTAAAAGCATAAAATTCCGGGTGGTGCGATCAGAAATACGAGATTTAACTCGATTGCAAAAGAAAACGGGTGCACGTCCGATCATTCAGTTACATTTCACAATAGCGTTACCAAGGTTTAACCATTGTTTACCTGGTGGGCAGCATAGTCCTTTCGGTGAAGGCGTAATATGATGGAACTTAACTGTTCCTGTCACAGTGCACGCGGCAACGTTTTGGTCCAAATACATTTATGGGACGTTTTTTCAGGAAGTTTTGGTGCACACTGATGAGCAGTAGAACGGTTTGCCTAATACACAGGCTCTAATACACTTTCGAAAGAGGTTTCGATTATAAGCATGTTTAACACAGCTGACTTTAATTTAATAAAGGATGAAACAGTTTCTATGATATGAGACAGGGTTCGGGACTAAATTAGTCTCGAGGTCCTTAAAAGATTATGCTGGGTCAAGGTTACTTAAAAATCTCTAAGTTTCGTAGTCAGCTGAATGCTGCCAAATACGATTAAAGTTAGTAAATGCTTCCCCCCATCGAAGACTCTGTCATTATACCGAGCGCCTCGTGCATTTTATTATGTAGATACATGTATAACAACAGCCTCGTACACCTGTCACCTGATCAGTTCCAAGGCCTGTCCAAACTGGAAGAACTGTAAGTGAACATTCAGAAATCATACCTGACTGCACAAGTAACTATTCTTAACCAAATATATATTTAACCAACTTTGATATTCATTTTTACTCTTGGTTGGAGGACATACAACTGCAAAAACAAGGAAGGAGTAACTCTCGAAAATACAAAGTATTCAATATTTTTGTAGTTTTACCGCAGAGGGTCAGTAGGGAAAATAGACCTTTCATTCTTCTTCTCACCACTTTTGCCCAAAGTTTCGCTAAATTTTTAAGCCAATGTACTTTGATTGGATAAAGCTCAGAAACCTTAGCAGAATTGTGGAAAAGATGCTTTATCATCCAAGATAGCAACTGTCACCTCGGATTTCTCTCGAAAAAGGCAGAAAAAGAAGAGAATTAGAGATGAAGGGATTCTCCCAAAAATTCAACAGATCAATGGAACAATGCTTTTTATAGTAGTCCAAATATAAGCATGCGCAAATTTTTGACATTTTCAGCAAGGTAACCGCAAACTGCATATCAGTGTAACTTTTACACATTTCTGGCTGTGAGTTTTCTTCGTACCTTTTACTATGTTTTCAAAATCTGATAACTTTTGAAGATATCATAGAGAGAGGGCACTATATTTCTGATAATAATGATGTGTCCTCTTTGTTGTTCAAGGGCTGTTTATGAAAACAATATCGAATACCTGCCGCGTGAAGTTTTTAAAGGCATGAAAAACATGATGTCTATGTAAGTATCTAATTCTAAACTTTCCTCTGAATAACGGTAGCGAGGTACTGCAAAATTAGTAAAGATCTAGTCGAGATGCAATTGTAGGAATCTTATAAATGTCCGTTATCTGAGTCGAATTCAGCTCAGGGAGATCAAGAGAGCCACAAAGCTCCACACCAAAAGCACGGACAACTTTCTACCTCCGACGTCATCACGTTATGCGATTAGTAATAATTAATTGAAAATTGTAGCCTTAATTAGCTAGCGCAGTAGATAACATATTAAACAATACATTACCTTATGGATAAAACCATGCATGATTGGACGACGAGATATTTGCGATAGCGGAAGTGGAAACAGCTTGAATAAGAGATCATACTAACTAGAAGTAGAGAGAACCACCAAAAGGCAAATCAGATAAAAAGCTTGGGAGACACTAAGTCTCTTCAACCACCATAAACCAGATCCTGCTGAGGTATCCCCTTCCAGATTCAAACACTGAGTTTACAAAGACTTCTACCATGAAACCCTCTCAAGGGTAAGCATGACAATACTCGTGAGGTTGTTTAAATCGGCATCGGCCACGAGGATATAAAGGGATCTGGAGCCGTACTATCAATTGCGACTTATGTAAGGAATATTTTGTTCTTGATAACCGAATTGTCACTTTGAAGAAGTTCTCCGTAATATGAAAATTCGTGAAAATACTTATGTGACATTATTTTATGACGCACTGTCTAATGTACGGTGAGGTTCTTTCTCGTTGCAGAACATTTTGAACAAATGGAAGATATTGCCTTCCATCCTTGGCTAATTTTCTGTCCACTGTTGTTATAATTTATACTTTGATGCTTGTCAACTGACGCTCTACACTTTTCACTGTTTCATCGTTCTGTAGGAGCTTTTATTTCAACAATATCCGTAACATTACCGTAGAACAATTCAAAGATGTCGCCCCAAGTATTCGATTCCTGTGAGTATGAGTAAACTGATAATATTCCAGGTGTGTTCAAACTACTTTGAGTTCAAGGGAGACAGATATTGTTGGTGCGACCTTCACGTGCTGTACACTCACGGATAAACACCCCTCCCCCATTTTAATGAATGCACAAGTGATCATACCACTGGCCGAATTGTTTAAGAAGGGAAAATGGAGTAAACGATTTTCACATACATACCACCACTGATATACTAAGAGTACCAACTGTGCCGCTATTAGAAGTGAGGATCGGCTTTGTACATTAATGCACAGTTTATACTTTTATTTTCGCCCAAATGTTATACTCCTTGGGACGATCATATCTGGTCACAAGAAAAAGTTTGGGAAAAACTTAAGGGAGGGCCCCTCCCCATAAAGTTCCCTCCCTGTAATGAGCGACCCATCTTTTCTATCTAAATTTGAAATGAGTGCACCAGGTGCTCATTGGAAGATTAACAACATATGAATGTAACAAATAAAGACACTTCGGCATAGCCTGTGTAAGTATGTTTTACAAACTTAGTGACGAGTTATACGTCTTCGGTGTTAGTTATCTTTCAAATAGTTGTTGAGAATTGGGCAGGAAAAGGAACAAGAGAGAGCCGGAAAACTGATTAATAAATAACGGTAACAGGACCGAGTGGAGTCCAGTTGGATCTGTAATCATCTATCTCATCCGCGAGGCGAGAGTCCGATTTGTTAATCACGATTATGATTAAGGACAGAATTGGACGACAAGAAGTCCTGTTACCAGTTTATCATAACCATTTGAAATTTCGTAAAAACAAATGCACCTAAAACAAACATCTCCAGTGGGGACAATTTCCTCAGTTAAAAATTCTCCATTTTGGAAATTCCCCAGTTTTTCTTTGGATAAGTGGTTGTTGCTATGATTATTTCGATCATTCCTGTGATTGGTGGATTAGCTGAGTGGACTAAGTGCGATTGGCTCCTTTAACTGTCCGATTACAGGTGTCCGATTACAGTCAACTGTCCGATTACACTGTCCTATTACAACTGAATGGAATGATAAGTGAAAAATGAAGCGGCGGATGCACCAATAACATTTAAGAAATTTGTAATGGTTGTGATTAATAGGCTAAAGATGTCGATATTATCAAGAATTAGTGAGCAAGTTTGCCTGAATTGCTTTCGTTAAATTTGCAGGTACTTCCATTACAACGAAATGCGAGAACTACCAGAGGGTTTCTTTTCAAACACGAACAATCTAATAACTGCGTAAGTCAATCAATCAATGAATCAATCAATAAACTTTATTACCCTCGAATTTACAGTGTAGCACTTAGGTGCTATTATAAGTTAAGTCGGGTGCTTAATATAAGTCAAGTGGAATATTCTCGATGCGAGGGTTGAAAATTGAAAAATTTCATTTGTCGATGCTCAGTTATACTGCACTTAGAGTATTACTATTACGCTTTCATTTTCTTGCAAATTTAGATCCTGCTACGGATCAAATTTGTCTTTTTTTCTCCTTTTGTTGTTCATTTGAACTCTTTTTATGAACCCTAGGACTGTGGACACCAACCTGATGTGTTGCCATGTGACGAAGCAGGACGCAGATTGCGACTTTGCTTATGTCGACAGCTTCGCCAGTTGTGAAACTTTATTCAGAAATCGAGCCCCTAGGGAGTGCCTCTGGGTGATTGGAATTATGTCGTTGGTTGGTGCTGTGTTTGTCATTGTGTGGCGGTTGGTGTTTAGGGAGAAGAAGAAGAAAAACAAGATACAATCCATCATGTTGATACATTTGGCTGGGGCTGATGGACTTATGGGTGTCTACCTCCTAACTATAGGTGTGGTGGATGCCATTTGG